TGTTCAGGAGCAAGCAGATAATCTGACACTGAAATGTGGTAAATTCTGATACTGAGGGAAAAGAAGTGTGTTGTCAGGTAGTATGTAAACTGTTTGCTGTATCTACGGCACCCTGTGGAGTACAGAGCTACAGTGTATTCTGAAAGTTATGCTGCTGAAAAAAAAATTCCCACTCTTGATATGCAAATTCTCATTTGTGTGAGAGTACACACATGGCTATTGTGGGGAAAAAACATACCGTGTGATAGTATGTTTTCCACTATAATAATCAATTTATAGGATTTGTGCCACCTGTTTTTAAAGCCAATTGCATTAGTCACTTCCAGAGTCTATATAGCTGTATTTAAATTCTCCATGGGCAGATAGGCTCAAGCAGCATAGCAGGAAAGCCAAGGACAGCTTGGTTTGAAGAAAGCACGCAGCAAGTGGCATGGAGACTGAGTTAATCAACTTTGCTGGACTTTAGTCAGTTGTGGTATTCCTGTTCTGACTAGAAATGCATAAAAGCACAGATATGATAGAGGTACCACAATAGCTTTGGATGGAGTTAGCGTAGGTCTAACCAAGCTCATTAGCCTGAATTTAGCAGTGGTTCTGCAAGAGTCAGCGTGACACTGGAATCCCAGCAAAGGCTTGTGGGCAGGTAGCTAAAGGAATGGCATTCATATAGATATGTCTGTTCTCAGTTGTAGTCTATCATCTGTATTCATAACCTATCACGTGAAGTATAGGAAGTTGGAACGACAACAGAAATATATGTATAACTGCAGTCTAATGTAATTCGTATATGGTTGGCCCCAGTTGAGACTGGGAGAATTAAGTGATCTGCCAAGAGTGTGTGGTGTTAGTAACCCCTTTTATATCATCCTGGTATGACTCAGCCTTTACCTTCTTTCTGCTTGCAGTGCTCTGAGAATTCACATCGAAATAACTGAGCAGATGAGCTCAGCATTTCTTTGCAAGGTTCTGCAGCGAGAAAGGCTACTCCACATATGTAATAACCCCATACTATAGTATGGAGGATTTTCTAGAGTTGATATTGTCAACATTTAATGACATGAGAAAACCAGAGGACAATTGGAGATTGCTGAGCCACCACACATGTGGAGGAGAGGGCAAATACTCGACCTTGCCCAGTCCTCCAATGTGGGTGGCATGCAGAGGTGGGAGACAACATTTAATAGTTAGGGCAGTGCAGTCTGCCCAAGCCCCTGAACTCTGACTTCTCTGGAAAAAAAGGACCATGAGTCAGATGGACCCAACAGTTGGGTCAGGCTGTGGTAGCTGTTATACCTTGCAGTGGGACTTTCTCATGTTTTAGGTACTGCAGAGCGGTTTCCAACACTCTGTACAGCCATGAACCTCATGTCCTGTGCTAAAACATTCAGAATTTGGTTATTTTTCACTGTCAATATTTGCACTAGCACAGTGAAGTCCCCAGCACAGTCAAAGATAATCTGTTATAATACAGATTGTAATAAATAACTCCTCTGGATATCCCAGCCTCCTGAAGTAATTGTCACATATTAAAGCAGGCTCTGTTTTTGCAGTACTTAGGAGATAGTACAAGCAGTATTGTGGACTATTGCTTATACTGTCTCTCCCAAGGCCTGCATTTATTTTCTGCTGCTGAAGCTGGGTGCTCTGCTGTTTACCACTCTTATTTGCATCTATTAGCCTGTAACACATCTACATCACAGACTAACAAATAACTACCTGCTCTAATGAGCTTGGAAGCATTGAGGAAGGCAGTGTTGCCCTTACTGTGTGCAGAAGCAGGATAATACTTCTGTGTTAGTTATAACTCTGTTGTGTTCGTTACTTAAGTAGGGCAGGCAGTACCTACATTTTGTGAGTGAAATGTTGAACAAGCTTACTCAGAAATACTTTATTAAAAGTTAGGTTGTTTAGGGGTCCCAAAGCTGAGTACCAAATCTCGTTTCGAGCAGATGTGCTTAGGATTCTACTTTGTTGGCTTGTAAATTTTTGTTGCCTGAAGCACGCGTGGGAAAGAGAGGTAACATTCTCCTTTGCTTATGTGATGCGAGAGTGGGGGTAGTGGAAAAAGAGGTGTGCAGGAGCACCTCCAGCAGAGGAACTATTTTGCAGAGTTTTGGTCCTGCATAGCCTGTATGATATGAGGGAGCTGACCAGTAGGCATAAACCAACTCTCTCAGTCAGTCTAACTGCAGTCAGCCAAACTTCTTTTGCATTGGTAAAAACAGTATTTGTATGAAGAAGCAAGGGCAGGAATGGTGGAGGAGGAAAAGAAACGTTTAAAGCTTGGATGTTTTCTCTTCTTTGGAGATTGCTAAATAGTATGGTATAGCATTTGGCTTGCAGCAGGTTTGCACTTTTCCTGGCTGAGTCAGTGCTGTCTGGTGTCTAGACAAGTGCAGAGGAGATGTCCCGTTTCCTGTGCAGAGAAAGACTTTGGCCATTTTGTAAGTACCTCTTGTTTCAAACACTTCACCAGTCACAAATTGTACTACTTTGATGCTCAGTTTGGCAAGGGACAATGGTAGAAGCCTTGAAGAGCAGCAGAATTAGGTTTGCTTCGTGGTTTAACCCCAGCCGGCAGTTAAGCACCACGCAGCCGCTCGCTCACTCCCCCCCTGTTGTGGTTGACCCCCAGCCGGCAGTTAAGCACCACGCAGCCGCTCGCTCATTCCCCCCCCTCGTGGGACGGGGGAGAGAATCAGAAAAGTAAAAGTGAGAAAACTCATGGGCTGAGGTAAAGACAGTTTAAGAGGTAAAGCAAAAACCGCACATGCAAGCAAAGCAAAACAAGGAATTAATTCACCACTTCCCATGGGCAGGCAGGTGTTCAGCCATCTCCAGAAAAGCAGGGCTCCATCAAACGTAACGGTTACTTGGGAAGACAAACACCATCACTCCAGGCTTCCCCCCCTTCCTCCTTCTCAGCTTTATATGCAGAGGATGACGTCACATGGTATGTAATATCCCTTGGGTCAGTTAGGGTCAGCTGTCCTGGCTGTGTCCCCTCCCAACTCCTTATGCACCCCCAGCCTCCTCACTGGTGGGGTGGGGTGAGGAGCAGAAAAGGCCTTGACTCTGGGTAAGCCCTGCTCAGGGGTAACTGAAACATCCCTGTGTTAGCAACACTGTTTCCAGCACAAATCCAAAAAGGAGCCCCATACAGCTTCTATGAAGAAAATTATCCTAGCCAAAACGAGCACATGGGTACCACAGAGCAGGCAGGAAATCACCTAAATGTGAGTATGACTATAAGGGAGAAAAATTAAGCATTGACTGGTTGAGGACAATGATGCGTTTTAGGAGAAAAGCTGTTTATGTGTGTACATCTGTCCAAAATGTCCATCAGTGTTATGGTGGTACATGCAGTTCTGGATGTAGTAAGACATCAGACTTCTATAAACCTGTAGGTTTTCCTGTATTAAAACTGGTGTAAGAAAAACGTGATCTGAGATTGTGAGGTTCAGGCTGAACATTTACATGTTAGCTCTGCTTCTCCCCAAAAGCCAGCTCCTACTGACTTGTATTCCATAAGCATTTCCGTCCACATATGTTGGTGAAACAGTTCTGTTTTGCTGAGCTTATGTTAGTGGCAGATATGGCTCCATCTTCATTTTTGACCAAGTTCTTTTGTTTCTGCTCATGAAAGATGGCATAAATACTGCATGTTGTATGTGGTGTTTCAAAGGAATCCTTTAAAAAGAGCACAAAAGCCTGGTGCTTTACCTATTGTATTGTTTTGGATGGAAGTCCTAAAACTACCAAATTATTCAGTATTCTTAAGTACCTCATGTTTAATTCTGTCATATTTCCCACTCTCTTTTACTGATCTCCCTATCTTTGATTCTTCTTTTTCTTGTCTCATTTTTGCCTGCCTTCACACTGACTCATAGCAGTGGTGTGTACTGCCTGAGTAGCTGCCCTCTGCGATTCTGCTCTGTGCTTCAGTTTGTCCTGTCTGGATGTGTCTCCTCAAATGGCTGCTCTAGAAGTACTGGCAGTGATACCAAATCAGCTGCAGTTTCCAAGCTGGTATAATAACCTAAGTTAATAATGTTGTACACTTGTTGGTTTTGATCTTCCCCATTGTCCTTTAACGGAAAGGAGGCATGACACAGTAATCTGTACTCACTCTCTCTCTCCCGTTTTTTCCCCCCCGGGGCTCTTTTTAATGTGTCATAACATGTGAATATGCTTTCACTTGGCATACATTTACGCTAAAACATATACAAAATAATCCCTGGCATAATACTGTGAGAGGCTAACAATTTTTGGCCAAATAGCTATACAGGATTCTTCTCATGTTCATCCAAAAATGAGTTTTACTGAGATCATCAACTCCTAGCTTACTGTTCTTATTGCTTTATTCACAGAAAGATCTTGGTTTTAAATACCAAAAAAAAAAAATGGACCTTTATTGTATAATTTTATCTGCATGAATAGCTTTTATTAAAAGGAGTGGGGAATCAGTCTCTTACGATTAAATCTATGCCGTAAGATGCTTAGGAGACCAAGACCTAATCACTCTTGTGTTACAGTCTTGGAACTTATCTGCATATTTGTCAAGTTCCCTGCCTGTTATGTAATCTTCCCTTATTACAATTTTTTTGTTTGTTTCTAGGTTTTGGTGCCAAGGGAATAAAAAATGTTATCCATCTTTGCTTATATGATAACTCCATATTCAAATTCCTCACGCGATTGTATGCCTGCCTGTGCTCCCTTGTAATAGATGATGATCACAAACAAAGATTTCTAGATTTGCAGCAGAAGTATTGTCTTACTGGCTGTAGTTCTGTAATAATAGATTATAATCCTCAGAGATCAGGAAAAAAGCCCTATTTATGTTGTTTAATGCCAGCCTTGTAGGCATAGTTCAGTTAATACCTACAATACTGATAATTGCACAAGGAAAAATGAAGAATGATCACAAAATGAAATTATAAATAGTTGAGCTGGAATTCTTACAAGACTTAGTTCTTTCACAAAAGTTTTAGTGCTATTTGTTTCATTTATGCGAGAGTGGGATTTTTTTTCCTCCCATACATCTTGAACTTCCATTTGCCATTTTGACTGATGACAGAATGTTACCAGATCTCAAAGAAATGTGCTTGTGCTTCTGAGAAATTCTTATTCTGTTGGAACTAAAACACCCTCCCACATATGTTCTTAAAACAATACTTTAACCCCAAATGTTTTAGTAATATGCTTTATTGCATCATGTGTTTTTTTTTTTTAAAAAAAGGCAGAATAGATGACACTATTGCATGATTAAAACAAAAAATGTGTTCTTTTGCCTTTGACTGTGATACCCATGTAACAACTTGGTGAAAGGTTCTCAAAAATTGCAGAAAGTAATTCTTTTTTGTAATTTATACAGATATTTGTAGAAGGTCTCAGAGATAAGTTGTTAATACATGAAATCGTTCTTGCTCTGTTCTTACTGTATTGTTATGCTAAACCAATTTTAATGTGACTGGCTAAATTGTCTTATCACAGTGCATATATTCTAGAGGAATATAATTTTCTTTTGGACAAATATTTGAAAGAAGATTCATAATGTATGCTGTCCTCCATTTACCAGAGTTGTGCTTGAAATAGAACACCAGGAGTTTCTCTAAATTTCTGGTAACCATGACAACCGCTACTTTAGTGTTATTAGCCCAATGTAATTTAGCGGAGTAGGTTGCCAGAGGTAATTTTTTAGCTACATTGGACTGATACTCATTATTGTAATTCTAAATAATGTTTGGAATTCATATTTAAAAATCACTTAGCCATAATACTGAAATATGCTGTATACTTTGTGGATTTGGTTTTTTAGTGAGGGTCTCACTTTGCCGAGGGGCAGGTTAGGGGTCTTGTCTAAGGCCCCTAGATGAGTCCGAGGCAGAGCTGTCACTGAAACTTGTACATTGCTGGTTGCCACGCAACTGTTCAATTCTTAGGGCTTAATGGATCTAAGATGTTGAACCATACGATTTCCTCCTTTTTTCCCCCTTCAGCATGTTTTATACACCTATACATGCACACTTTCTCTGTAGCTATTTCTTGTTAATTCCTAGAATTACAGAATTTTGTCCCTCATGAAACTTGGCATAAGGAAGAAGACAGACATACTTGTGCAACTACACCAGTGCTCTGTGTTCTGTTCATGATCTGAGGTGTGTGGGTTTAATTCTGATTTGTTTAAATAAAAAAAAGTAGGTAATTTTTATTGTTATAATCTGATATGAAAAACAATGTAGGCAGGAAAATACATTTTTTAAAAACTCTACACGCATTGAGAAAGAAGTGAATTCAAGCTGAAAGTAAGGATGGTAAAGGAGTCCAAATGGAAAAAAGAAAACATGAACTCAGTTTAGGAACGTACCCTCATTGAAAATGAATCCATTTGAAAAGACTAAAGAAATTAGATACAACGGGAGCCTACTTCTAGTCTCTTGTATGGTACGTAGTTGTCTTTTAATGTATGGTGTAGCAAAAAGGGAGTCAAATGACATTCACAGCATTAAACACTTTGCTGTTGTCTGCACAAGGTGCCAGACAATGGAAAATTTTTTCCGATGTGATCTAATTTGACAAGATGTCAATGAATGCAGGTAGGAAAAAACAATACAAATTATTTCCTTTAAATGGATGGAAGACATACCAGAAGCAGAAAATTTGTTTAAACGTTTCAGTTTATGCATGGATTTATGGTAGGGCAGCAGTGTTTTGGGGGCTGGTTTTGTCATCTGGAACACTTTTGGATATAGTTTGTCACTAATTTCTTACAAAAGTGTATTTTACATGTATCTCAACCTTAGCTTAATTGATAGAGGAGAAAAACCCGCAGTTTTAAGGAAGTAACTTCTTTGAACTATTTTCATTTAATGAATGATTTCAGAGGTTAAAATACTCACTCTAGGGTACAGGAGGCAGGTGTGGAAAACTATGTTTTCTCCTTAAGATTTGAAACCTTACGTGTGGGTATATAGAGTTGGGACTGTTTAGCCTAGAGAAGATGAAGCTCAGTGGGAATGTCATCAATGTGTATAAATACCTCAAGGGAGGCTGCAAAGAGGACAGACACAGGCTCTTTTCAGTGGTGCCCAGTGATAGGACCAGAGGCAATGGGCACAAACTGAAAACCAGGAGGCTCTGTCAGAATATCAGGAAACACTTTTGTTCCTGTGAGGGTGACCGAGCACTGGCACAGGTTGCCCAGGGAAGTTGTAAAAAAGTCTCCATCCTTGGAGATAATCCAAAAGCAGTCTGGACACAATCCTGGGCGGTCAGCTCTAGGTGACCATGCTTGAGCAGGGGGTTGGACAGGATGGCTTCCAGAGGTGCATTCCAACCTCAACCATTCTGTGATTCTCTATTGCTTCCCAATAAACTACCCTGACAGCTGATTTGCAGGCTCTTTATTCCTTCAGCCAAAGCAGCACTTCTTAAATGAAAACAATAAATATTATCTTGCAAAAGAAAGAAAAAGAGTTACTGTGGCATTATAATCTAGAAGACTGGATATAGCCATAAAGAGTGAAGTCCAGGGTTTAAAATGCATGAGCATCCATTGGAACGGGTACTGCAATACAAGTCCTTCCTCCATGGAATTTGCCCCGAAGACAAGGCTTGGTATCACTGCAATTTAGCGTACATTTAATTGCTCCGCAGAAAGTGGAATGACTCTGGAAAGGGGAACTGAAAATAATCGCACTGAGCTGGCAAGTAGTTAGATTGCTCCCTGGGGAGATGAGAGAAGATTGAGCTCATGCTCCTTCTGTCCTGGTGAAGGTTTTAACTCCTGAACTACTGGCTAAAAGAGAAAACCAGTGCTGCCTTGTACTAGGCTTCTGGAAGAAAAGGCAGCTCCCTCTGCCTCTTGTTGTAGTGTTTTATTTAGCATTAAAAACACTCAGCTTCTTATCTCTAGGAAAGTACCTATGGCTCTCATTAATTCAGAGGGCCTACAGTGCTTCGTGGAGAAAGCTAGTCCTGTCTTGTCTACGTGCTTCTGAGTCGCTATGTACTTTACAGGTTACATATCACTCTGCTGAAAGATGCAATATTTAGATTTTTATTTAGATTTCCTTTGTGAATCTATTGTTAAACCCTTCTTAGAAAAATCTTGATTGCTAGCAAAACTCCCCCAAACCAGTAAGAATCATGACTGCACCTGCTTTTAAAGGCCCGGTATACAAGATTTCCAAATGTAAGCGTCAATGAGAATATGGTGAAATTTTATTACAAGTCATGTTTAATGAATTGACATTTCCTTTAAAGTATTCACCTTAAATTTAAAAAAAAAAGGGGGGGGGGGAGGCAATTGGTTTGAAAGGACACA